CCTTAGATTTAGGCCGATAATTATTTTCACAAATTACATTTGTAATTTGCAATGAAAATTGTAATTTTTCATAATTTTTTTGACTTTGTTAGAAGCCTCTGTACAAAATGTTATTGTCTAAAAACGTCTAAGATTCACTTAAGTGGTTGCTCAAAAAATATGTATGACGTGACTGCATTTGGGGACAATAATTACTATGAATCTTGATTCGTCGGAACCAAAGTGAAAGTTGTTGTATAAAGTTTCGTTCTGCTATTTTTTTTTTTGAATATTAACTCTTTTAAAAATGCATTTCTGTGGCCAAGTGTACTTAGCCATATCAAATTACAAAATACAAAATGTAATTTAAAACATTGTAACAATAATATTCCAATATTAATATTTTTAATGTTGAGTAATTACAAAACATTATTAAGTTATTATTACAGTGATTTTTAATTAAGTCTAGATTTTAATAGAAACGTTACCATATTTGATTGTTCCGAATATACCAAGGTAACAAATTGGCAGATAGTTATCGGAAACGTCAAAAATAAATTATTGATATGAACTAAGAGGTCACACAAACACTTTTAGAGCTACCCATTCCTACCTATTATACACCATTATTAAATAGATTCTGGCAATGTCAGAGGAAATTATTTAATAAAATTTAATACATATTTGTGTATGTATTGTATAATTTTCTAAAATGTGAATTAATATTAATTATTTGTATTAATTAAGAACATATATTTCATATAGGGTGTTAAATAAAAAAACAATTTACGATCGTTCGGAATACCTATACAAGAAAAATAAATAAATATGTCATTCTATAAAGCAAAAGTGCAAAAGTTTACTTCTTTTAATATTTTACTATTCTTTTTTTTTAATGGAAATTTTTAAACAGCCTTGAGATTAATATCAGTAGCAAATTAACTGGTGTTAATTTTAATAAAGGAATTGACAGTTACCGTTTTTGATTTATTTTGATAAAAATATCATTTTAAACGTTAAAAATTTGGAGACAAAAACACTAATACCGTCAAAATCCTTAGACCAGAAACTTTGCAACTTTGCCTGAATTTTTAGCAAGTAATTGACTAGAATAAAAAACAATCATGAAAACAATAATTTGAGGAAGAGGTTGGAAGTAACTATTTTGGAAAAAAATTCAACATCAATTTCGTTCATTACAAATAAATTAGAGAGAAGCTCATTTTTGTCATAACTTTGCACTTACTCTATTTACATCAGAAAACGTTTTATCAGAGGATAAAAACAATCATATTTCTTTTAATAAAATAATAATAATGATAATAATAATAATTCATATTTTGAAAAAAAGTTGAGTACCTAGTTCTGAAATGAAATAATGAAAGAAGAAAAACTTTTAGAGTGTTTACTTCATTTTAGATAAATTTCTTACTGATTTAACAAATAATGTTAAAAATCAACCTTAAATGAGTTCCAACAGTATAGATATTGAAAATAAAAGTGGGTATTATAAAAAATGGCTCTTCTATTTAACAAATAGAAAATCTTGTGAAGGCCGTCATTAAACGTGACACCCTCGACAGCTCGATATAATTGTTGTGATAATAATAAGCGCCTATTTCTTGAATTGTCCATTAAAATTAGTATTAGCAGTAATTAGGTGTTAGCAGTCTTCAAGGCGATTACATTATTCTCGCAATATTATGTTTATTAAAAGCTAATACGAGCAGTTATTAAGTTGTCATTTATATTTTAATTAGACAAAACTTTTTGCACATCATCGCTAGTGGCAACAAAATTTAAAAGTGATAATGGACTACTAACCTCACTTTTAATTAGTTATTCCGCTTTTAATATTCGAACAATCAAAAATGACCCCGAACCTGAAATCAACTGTTACCTTTCACAAAAACTTGCTATGTATCCGTATTGTAATTTAATTAGTTCGATTTATACACATTAATCCGTAATAAATGATCATTTCACGACTTGTCATGAAATATTTGATTCATGCTTTTTCTTGTAAACTCATAATTCAATAATAAAAGAAAGATTTATGCTGTTAAATATAATTACTTTTCCTGCTCTTGTTTAAACAAGTTTGAGCGACATACTTTTGGGAGATTGTCGTCTTTCGTGGACTGTCTCCCAAAATGCGCTATAATTAGCAATCCTATAATCATCCGATGATTATAAATACGCAAAAGTGGGTTGTCTTTGGGCACTTTTTAAAAACCGGAATTATTTAGCCATACGAGGAAATCGCTTGCTCAACTGTGAATCATTAATCATTAAAAATTTTAGTAAGAACTGATGAAAAAGACACTACAGAAAATAGTGAAAAATAAAAAGCCTAAAAACTTTATTTCTTCAAAAATTTAAATTTATTTACGTTTTTGACACAACCATTTTAAAAATCACATCTATTTAAGTAGAATTCAGTTTTTACCAAAAAAATTGATAGAGATTACCATTAAAAAAGCAAAACTCTGACTGTTATTGTAACCATAAACGAGCGTAACTAAATAAATAGTACTGTAATAAAATTTGTTGTTATCAAAATAGAAAATTATTTTGTTTTTTTTCCAAAAAATGCTTGTAAATAATTTTTGCCTATTGCGTTATTGATATTTTCATCATTATTCAGCGTGATGATAAAGGTGTATAAAATTCATAACACAATAAATTAACAGAAAAGTATATGTGGTGAATTAAATATTTTTTTTCCATTATATCAATTTTATTGAGGTTTCGGAATCTCTAATACCAGTTATGCTGTTATTCCAATTCTTTGACAAAAAAAAAATTAATGAGTAAATTGCAATTGTGTGCAACTTAATCATCACCTGTATTGTCATTAAATACAAAGAAAACAACTACGTGACTTGAATTAGATAAAAACAGTATTTTAACACAATTAATTTTAAACGACGTAATGCGATTAGCGGTTTTATAATCCAATAAATTTACTTTAGGTTGAAATAGTTGGCTTTTATGTAACGTTTTGTCAATGGTTCGAAGAAAAAATTGTTGCGAATTAAAATGGTCAGGTATCTATATCAATTAATTTTTACAACTTCGAGAGCGAAAGTAATTTTTTAAGACATAACAGTTAAAAGTTTTTAAAAAAATTGAAAATTGTTACGTGGATAAATTTATTTTTTGATAAGTAATAGTCTACTTTTTTAAACATTATTTTGTATATTTTTTATTCTTTATAAAGAATAGCCCTAGATACAAAAAAAACAACAACAAAACTATAAAAACTGATAAAAATGAGCAAATTACAAGGTGAAAAAATTTTCGTCACCCTGTTAGTAAAAAACACGTGTAGAATGTGCTTGGATACTGTTTTGTGTATCAAACAGTTTTTCTTTAGGTAAAGACAAAACAATGGTCAATTTGTGAGCCAAATATTTGTGTACAAATTATAGTATTGTTTTAGAGCTTTAAAGAATTTGGCAAGGCATTGAATGTAATGTAAAAAAATATTTACAAGTTGGTCGAAATCTCACACAGAATTTGAACATTGGCCCCTGACCGCTAATTACTGGGATTTTTGATTCATGTGATTTATAAAGACGATTTCTTTGTTGAATTAAAATATAGGAAAATTAAAACATTTTATTCCAATAAGCATGATGACGTGCAGACGGTTTTGGTATTTTTAAAAAGTTCGTCTCGGAAAATCCAAAAAAATGGGTCGGGCTTTCCTCAGAACGCAGTAATTGGTTTGCTCAACATAAAGAAAGCAATCGCTGTATAATTTTGGTATTGTTTTATTTGGAGATAGGCGTTCAGTCTACTTTTCGGGGCTTATTTAATCGCATGGAACCATTTATTGTTTACTCTTTTATACATTTGTGAAAGGCAAATCCATGATTTAATGGTCGCATTTTTATTCGTAATTCGTCTGTAGGTAATAGTTTTTTGGCTGTTACAGAAATTAATTACTATGGCGGTACCTGAAAACTGTCGAAATTCCCATTTTGCTTCTTTTTTATTCTTTGAATTCCTTTTTATAGTCACCAGGTTTTTAATTAGTATTTGCTTGGGTATCATTAAGGATTTTCGGTTAATTTTTTTTTTTAAAATAACAGAAAATATAGTATGTCTAGTAGTAATATGTTATTGAAGAAGATTTTTTTTATTAAAATTTTTGTTTGAGCTAAAAAACTGATTGGAGTTCCCGAAACTCGCTCATTAAGTTGAAAAATTGTATTTTTTAAAAGTGTTTCTATTGAGTTCAGCCTTTAATACCGTGCGACCAAAAAAAATAAATAAATAAATTAGAGTAGGCGGTGATTAAAGTCGTTCAGATGGCGATCTTGATTTTTGACGTCAAATGTCAGCGGAAACTTTGACAAGTTTGCGTTTTATTCATTTTGAGTGAAATAATGTTCACTTTAGAGCAGAAAAGGTAAATGGTCATTTTTACTTTCTTTTTTTTGATCGCACGGTATAAACTATTGTTTGTGGTGATGTTTTTCTTTGACTTTCTCTTACGAGTGTTTATTTTTCAATTTTCTCTCTTATTTTTTGTATTTCAATGTAGTGTGTTTGTGTTTTTCTTCTTACTGATCAGAAATAGGTACGTGATGGAATTTTCTCAAAATTTTTTTGGACTTTAGCGCCCAAAGATACAAGGAATCACTTAGAAATGTTAGAAAAACATAAACATCACAGATATATCTAATTATTTTAATAAAAGAATGACAACCTATACATAAAAGTTGACATTGGCCATACATTTATAGGTTTATACTTAATTAAATTAGGTAAGACATAAAATCATACATAAATCATAGTAAATTTATTTTAAAATTTTTACTGCTTATTTTATTATCAAATATTAATTATCATAGTTGTATGTGACAACAAAATTAGAATTTCGACGTTTCAAATTACTGGAATTCCTGCCTTTTTTTTAAATTGCTAACAATTTAAACCAGTTGGCATATTTCAAATGACCTTTATAAAGTATTACTTGTATTATTATTATTAATAATATTATTATTTAATTTAAATAAGATACCGTTATTTAATTAATTTTATAAATAATGTAGCCTTGTAATTCTTGTTAGAAAACTAAGTATACTAAATACCGTATTTTGGGTTGACTAACGTTGAAACGCTCTTGAAGGGGTTAATTTCACTTACAAACTTAAATGTTTTCTATTGTTCATATTTATGTAGCATATTCATACTGAAATGAAAGTAATAAATTTTTTCAAATATCTAGCTTGCCATGAAAATGACGTGGTACGAAATTTAATTGGTTCTCAAATAATTAATTATACCTACTTTCATTTTCACATAAAAATTTTTATACCAAAGCCAATTTTTTTTGTAAAACTTTATTATAGTGTCACTCGCAGTGACGTGTTTACAACTCACTTCGGAAGAGTACAAGCTGTAAAAGTATAAAAATTAAGCTTGTTATTACTAGTGGTGATAATAAGCCACGCTTTCAAAATCTCTTTCCTAATCTAAAGAAAAGCCCATCAGAAGTAAACCCACTTTTAAAAATTCTTCTTTCAGGGATTGTAATTTGCCCGTTTTTGTGACTTGTCTGAAAATTTTTATTTTTTTTTTATATAATTCTGGAAATTAATTATGCACCTACTTTAATATTGTGGTTGCTTCTTTTGGTCCGTGTGATTTAGTATCGTGGAAAAAAACAGGAACTATTGTTTGATCGGTATTTTTGTCAACTTTCTTTGAGCTTTCAACGGTTGTCGAGTAGTTGAATTGCGTTTCCAGTATGGATTTTATCTGAAGTAATTTTTTTTATACGATTATCTGAAATGGGTATGTACTTACAGAACCAGTAGCATTTTCTAAGACTTGTTGTTTGTTTTGAAATTTGAAATTTACAGTGTATTTGGAAGTTACCAAGTAGATTTGAGCAGTAGCGTTGTCTAGATGAGTTGATTCTAAACAAACTCTGTTAGAAATTGATCAATGTGTGAAAAAGTCTTACCTTCGTCATGAACACTGAGGAGCAATCTAAAATATCCACTCATGGTGTCACTGACTTCGAAATTTTGCTTAATGACACCGGTTTTTTCATCGATTTTGAAATGATCTTTAGCTGTGCTATTTGATACACCTGGCGAGTATGATTCTATTGAATCTATTACGTATGTTAGTTTTCCTTGACTGGTTGTATCAATATCGGTGGCCTAAATCAATTATAAGCAAAAATTTACTAATTTTGTGCATTTACTTACCGAAATTGTAAGGTTGATGTCTGTATCTATAGTGAGGAATGAAACATACTCTTTTTGGTCAAACACTGGTGGGTTATCATTCACATCTACAACCTAAGAAATACTTGTTACAATAATTGCAAAATTTCACAAAAATTGTTTACTTTTATGGTAAGATTAAACTTCGTTTCTTCGTTGGCATTGGAATTAATGGTATCTTTATTTGATGATTGTATGACCAAAGTGTAACTTTTCACTTCTTCGTAATCAAGTGGTGTTTTAAGTGTTACATTTCCTGTCTTTATGTCTACATCAAAGATGCTATTATTACCCTCGCGCAACAAATAGAAAATATCTAAGTTAGAAATATTCACATCTGGGTATGACGCATTTTCGACTTTGTAGTTTTCTGTAATTGAATTTTCTAGAAATTCAGTACTACCATCATGATGGGCAAAAACAGGATCTGTATTATCTTTATCAAAGAAACCAATATGGAAAGTACAATTTTTCGAATATGGTTTTTCCCCTGGAACCATCTGACTTTCATCGGCGTCTAAATAAGCCATAACAGTTATCTAAAACCGAATTTTAAAACTCTTTCACAGTTTAGAATCCAATACCGTGTAAGTTTCAGCCTTGAAACTACTTGTGCTCATTTGGAGTTGTGCTTGAGAGCCGTTAGAATTAGCGACTTTGAAGAGATTTTCACCACTGTTATCCTCAACAATTTTGAATAAAATCGCGTATTTGTTGTTTTGTTGATCAGTGGCGGCAATATTGTCAAAAATTTTGGCGTCCCACATTATCAGTGGTGCGTCTTTGTTTTGGGTCTAAAGTGTTAGAATGAGTTAGAAATAAACTGCAATAAACCACTTATACCATTTCTAAATAATACGTAGCTCCATCCACGGGAAATGTAAATTTCGGTTCCTCAAAATTGAATTTGACCACTTCTACTGAAACGGTTGACACACCAGACAAGGCAGGTTCTCCTAAGTCTGTAGTCTGAAATAATCGTTTTAACAAAGATTGTGTTGTTTTTTGAATACAATACGTTAATTGTAAATTTTAGATAACCATAATTGTCTCTTAAATCTTTTTTTAAAATAAGGGTAGCTTCCGTCTGAGTGTCAGCAGTTTCTATGTCAAAAAGTGTTAAAGAAGCGTTGCGGCAATTTTTTAGAGTTTCATCCTGACAGCGTTCAATTGCTGCGATCACAAAATTCATTTTTCCGTTATCACCTTCATCCTTATCTTCACCGTGAAGTTGTGTGTCAAGTGGACCCTAAATAGTGTTGTCTTGTCAAACAATTATCAAATTTCCATGGTAAATACTTACTGTTTTAGTGTTTTCTGACAATTTTGGTAAAGTAGTATTAACTACAGTCGGATAATTATCATTGAGGTCTGTTAATTTTATTGTTATTTTTGGTGGTGGATCTACGGGGTTTGAGATATTTCCTGTAAAAATTAAAGTAGGTATACATTTTCGTAAAATATTGTCAAAACCTTGTCCGGTAGGATTATCAATGCACATAAGATCAAACGTAAACTCGGGAGTTGTCTCTCTATCTAAGCTAGCTTCTGCTGATAAGTTAACTGTAATTCTATTCAAGTCATCAATTTGAAACCTGTTTGTTACATTAGAACTTGTGGTGGATGAAAATGAGCATTTCACGGTGTGGAATGGTTCTACAAGAAACAAAAATAAAATAACAAAACTTAAAAAAAAATAAGTTACCGTCTCTGTCACCATCTTTTGGTGACAACTCAAGGACCAACGTTCCATTTTGTTGGCTGTTATTATCAAGCCCATTATCTTCTGGAATTTCTATGTCCTGATTGCCCAATTGAGGTGCCAAGTCATTTTGGTCGTTTATATCGATAGTTATCTAAAATTGTGTGTGCTTGTGTAAAATGAAAAATTAACTAAACATTTATTACATTAATAGACGTATTATGGACACCATCACTTGCTGTGACAATATAAGTAACATTATACGTGAAAATGCCTTCCGGTTTGTCCGAATCAATAACATCGTTATCTTCCAAACAGACAAAGAGATTACCAGTGATATTATCAACTGCAAACCAGTTGGGTGTTTTATCGTTTACAGGTCTACAACACAAATTTTTTGTTTATTCAAAAACAATAAATTTTCTCACTTTATGGAATATGTGATCTTGTCTCCAACATCTTTATCAGTGGCTGTTATATTACCAATAGCAGTTCCATTTGCTGTGTTTTCAGTGACTTGTCTCCTATCATCAGCATTGCTTGAAAATTCCGGACTATTATCGTTTTTGTCTACGATTGTTATAGGAATTAATGCTGAAAGAAAACTCTCAATATCAAATCCAAAACATTGTCCCACTTACCAAAATCAAAACCTTCATTCTTCTCGGTGTTTTTATCAGTAATTTTCAAGTAAATATATAAAGTATCAAATAACTCATAATCTGGAGTGTTGTCTTTCTGAGTTTCGCTGATAGTTAATTTGGCGGAAACCACATGGTTTGTTGCCTCAGCAACAGTTTCGATGTTAATGCAGCTAAAAATGCTAGTTTCTACCAAAATATTAAACCAAATATACGTACTGATAATTTGCAAAATCCTCATTACTTATTTTTAGAGAGTTCTTAGTTGCGTAAGACTGGCTCCAATCAATTGAAAACATTAAGTCTGCATTCGTGTCTTCATCAAATGCTGCGATATTAGTCTTTAATTCGGTACCATGTGCCTGATTTTCGTCAATTTCCACTGATGATGACTTAAAACAACACTCAGTGTCGGAAAATTTTGCTGAAAATCTACTTACAATAACCAGTTTTGGGTTTTCGTCATTTACGTCTTCTACTAGGATAGTCAATTGAGTAGTAGCTGTATGATTTGCTAAATCTGTGGCTCTAATATGGATGTAAACTTTGTTTTGGGTCTCAAAGTCAAAAGCATCGTCTACTTTAGTGGTGATATTGCCACCTAGGGCTTCAATTGTGAAAGTGTTATTTACCAAAGCTCCCAACAATTCGTGTCTATGATTAGAATACATTACTGAGTTGGACAAAAGTATGTTTAATTACTTTAAACCAGCTGCTATGTCTTCAGCATCAGCATCTGTTGCTTGTATTGAAACTATCACAGTACCAGTTGGTACGTCTTCCCGGACTGTGACAACACCAACATCCCCAAATTGGGGGGTTTCATCATTGATATCATTCAGAACTATTGTAATTGGAACCATATCTGCCATTGACGTGTTTTTGGTTCCTTTAGTGTGTAACTGAAACCAAAATTTTATCTACCAAAACTTTCATAATTTTGGTATTACCTCCATCGTGATTATTTGCCAATCGGGTTGCTCAAAATCTAATTTATTTGAGTCTAGAATATTTAGAGTAAGTGTTGTGTTTTCATATCCTCGTTCAGGAATTACAGCAAATGCGGTTAAAAAATCTGCATTTTTTGAAGTCAAATCTATAGTGTACATAGCATTCTCTCCCTAAATTAAAAAAGAAATGGTAAAAGCAAAAAGAAAAGTATTGATATTTACAAAGTCTATATCAGATACTGATATGTTTGTATCTATTTTCGTTGAACCTTCATCTATGGTTAATTTTAATTCTTTTATCTCGGCTGAATCGTTAATATAAATTTTTGGGATGTTGTCATCAATATCTTCAATAATCAAGAAAATCTGGGCAGTTGTTGTTGAGTTTGAATCTTCGACTTCTGTAGCTGTTACATTAATGGTGATCTCGTCGTTTCCTGCATCTCTATCAATTGGATCAATGGTAATAGTCCCATCTTTAGGATCAATTTTAGCGTAACCACCTAAAGCACAGAAATTAGTTTTTTATTATAAATTAAATTTTGGTTAATGTTTCACTTGGATCATCAATACTATAACTTATGTTATTATTTATTCCATAGTCACCATCTTGTGCTGAAACTTGTGTTGTCTGAAAAATTGTATTAGAAATTGAATTTAAACAAAACTTTTGTGTACATAAGATTGTTTTTCTGGTATTGTTAGGACAGATTCAATTTTTTCCCAAACTGGTGGTTTATTGGGAATATCATTGACTTGGACTAGAATGGGGACACTTTTTAGAGGAGTGGTTTCGTGACCAGCAGCGTCCTAAAAAAATCCTTAAAAACTACTAAAAACCAGTTTAAATCACCTTTGCTTCCAAATGAAATGAATACACAAATGCACTGTTGAAGTCTAAAGTCACTCCTTCTTTCAAAATTAAATAAACGTCGCTTTTCGTGGCAGTTTCAAAAGGATTTTTTTTATATTTGAATTCAAATAAGTCTTTCTCACCCTACAACAAAACACATGCTTAATTGTCGTTAAATAAACTAATTGAATCTCACTCTTGAGCCTACGATATTTTTAAAATTCATTTTGCCTAAAAATCCATCAGGATCACTAACTTGGAAAACACACATTGAATTATCAACTGTGTATTCTGTCATTTCCTATAACTTGATATTAACAGAAACAATTCTAAAAAGTTGGGAAATGTAAATTACATCCATGTCGCAATTAGAAGTTATTAAATTCGGGCTTTCGTCGTCCAAATTTTTGAAACCAACGCTCAAGGTTTGGCGAGTAGTCGGATCGGAACCATCTGTGATATCCAAAATAAAAGGGTTAGGCTGTATTTTTTCATAATCAAGCCTTTTTATCGTAATTTTGTATTCACTAGTATTGTTTCCAGGCTCAACTTTGGCCTCTAGTTTTTTCTCCTGATCATAATCGTTTATTTGAAGTGAGTTTTTAACTAAGCGGCAAAGTTTTAGTTAGTGAATTTACATGATTTTTTTCGTTTTACCATCGGTTACTAGAACAGCAATCACACGGCTACCATTGTTGTCCTCATCTACTGTTACTGGTTGTGCATTAGTAGTTTTGTTATCAAAGTGTACCCCTGTTGAATTGGCATCTTTGAATTCAAATGAGAAAACTGCGAAACAAAAGTTGGAATTTGTTTTTAGAAAGCTGGCAACTTACCGGAAGTTATAATGCCCAGAAACACCAAAATGGTGAATCGCATTTTGAACAAGAAATCTGAAAATAAATGATAAGATACCTGTATTATTAAGTAACTAATGAGCAATTATTAAACTCTTTATCCTATCTTATCACAAAAAATTGCAGTGATTTTTTTTATAATTTATGTAAAACTTCAAGGTCAAATAAATAATTTTTAAAAAGCATTAGAGGAATATTTAAAAGTAATAAGTACTTAATTGTAAATCATATTTTAGTTTTTTGTTTGATTTGATTTATTAGTTTTCTTTCACTAAAAGATTGATTTCTAATTTAGAAAATTAATTCAAACCAAGTCTGCTATGTAGTAAGTGCTTACTTAAAAATATTTCAAAAAGGTACAAATTTCACACTTTTCAAAAGTTGTTATAACGCCAGCAGAACAATCTCGACTGATAAATTAAACAAAAATTGATCATTTTTCCTTGATTTTGTTTTACCTGATTAGATTCTCGTAAAGATAAAGATTTAGTAAATTTGTTGGCAAATGTGAAGTACCTAAAACTTGCCTAAATTTTAATTGTTCTTATTTTGGTGGATCAAATTTCAACATTTTAAATATATTTTTTTATTTCTTTAATAATAAATCTTTCTTTTTTATTAGTTTCCATGGAATATTTTAAGCACTTGGTAGCATTATGGTAGTTTGTGAAATTTTACAAAAAAATAGATGCGGAGATTTTATTTCAAAAATTATAGATATTTTAAAAATCACAATCCGTTTTCCAATGAACAAACTTCACTGGCTTGTCTCTATGATAGTTCAAAATTTATACCTAATTTCTTTTTTTAATTTTACCAATAAAATAATTAATTAGTAATTTTAGTACCCCCATTTTCTTTAAGATTTCAAACGTTGCAAGTAACTAAAAAACTAGTGAAATCAATAAATTTATTCAAGTACTTTTTTATTTAAATTTCAATTAAAGATGTTGATAAAAACAAAAAAATATTTATTACAGCATTTGACGACAAAATAGCAATCATTTATAAAAATTATTTTAATTAGAGAAGGGTCTTATGTTTTTTTATTTTTTATCTTGTCTGTATCGTTAATATAAATTTTTGGGATGTTGTTATCTATATCTTCAATAATCAACAAAATCGAATCAGTTGTTTTTGACTTTGGATCTTCGACTTCTGTAGCTGTTACACTAATTTTGATTTCATTTGTGAATCTCATTTTGAACAACAAATTTGAAAATGATTGATAAAATACTCGTTTTATTAAGTAACTAATGGCAATTATTAAACTCTTTATCCTTATCCTCTTATCATCAAATCAAATTCAGTTGCAATAATATATTTGTCAATCTACCTTATCACAAACAACTGTAGTGATTTTTAACGTAATTGGGTAAAACTTCAAGGCCAATGATATGTATACTTTACAACATGATTTTTAAAAAGCATTGGGGGAATAATTAATTCTTTTTTTGATTTGTTTTATTGGTTTTCTTTAACGAAAATTGATGAATATATAAAAGTTTATTTCCAATTTACAAAATTAATTTAAACTAAGTCTGATGTGTGAGTTTACATTTTCAAAAGTTGTTATTACGCCAGTACAACGATTTCGCCTGAAAAATTAGACAAAAATTGATAATTTTTCCTTGATTTTGCTTTAACTGATTATATACTCTAGTAAAGTAAAGTTTTATATCAATTTTTGTAGCTGTTGCAGTTTTTTTCTGTAAAGGAACTTCGGATATAACAGACTGGTTAGAAGTAATAAAATATTATATTGATTAATTTTTATTGATTTGTTTTTATAAATATAAATATTTACTTATTCTAGTACCTAAGTGATTAACAATGTAACAATACAATTTGTCCTTTGGCGAGATAATAGTGTAATCCTTATAATAGAAATTTTGGCACAATGACAGGACGAAATTAAATTGTGTTCGAAATTATATCACTGTTTCCTAATAATGGTGTTAATTTGGGAACAAAACTAGCCGATCATCATCGCCTTGAATTCTGGAAAAACAGTTTTATTTTTTAAAATATTGCTCTAAAACACTAACCTTCCCAATCGACTGTTCCAGAACCATCAGTATCAATCTCTTCAATCATTTGTTCCAAATCCGCCGGAGTTAACTTTTCGTCTAGTTCTTTCAAAATTTCTCGTAATAAATCGACTGAAATGTAGCCAAGCCCACTTTTGTCGTAGAGTCTAAAAGCGTCTTTTAGTTCTCGTAAAATAGCTTCGGTGTCTTCCTCTTCTTCCACAACAAATCGTGCAGCCAAGTGTGCAAATTCCTCAAAGTTCATGACTCCGTTACCATCAGCATCAATTTCGGAAATAATACCCTAAGATTAATAATTACATTACGAAAAAAAAAACACATTCTTTACCTGTAGTTCTTCGGCTGATAATTGATGTCCCAACATATCCAAAATTTGCCCAATCATGTCAACACCGATTTCCCCCTTCTTTTCCATATCGAAAGAATCAAAAATTTGTTTCAGTACTGAAAATATTTTGCTTATATTTGCAGCAATTAGGCGAAAAAACTTACATTTCAACTGATCTTTTGATATTTCAAGATCCTTGAGTTTCTCCAATTCTTCGTCTTCCTTAAAATAAGAGAAATACTAGAATTTTATTGCGTATCAAGTGCGCACCTACCATTTTTAACACCTGTGTACGTGTTGGTGATCAGAATCTAATTAACTAGAGCGTCTTTAATTAGCGCTAAAATATTTATAGAACTATCAATCACAGTTACCTTTCGATTAAAGGGGGGAGGCTTATGTCGAAAAGGGACAAGGATATTGTATTTATAAAAAAATTCATTACGTATGAAAAGGGTTTATTAACATAAAATTTATAAACTGAAAATACCTCAAAATGCACTTCTAACCAATCATGACTGCTTTGAATTCTAAAAAATTAATATTAATTTGAATTTTGCAAACTAATGCAAAAAGTTACCTTCCCAATCCACGGTGCCTGAACCATCAGTATCAATTTCATCAATCATATTATCTAAATCATCTTCACTCAAATTATCATCAAGCTCTCGTAGAATTTCTCGGAGAACATCGGTTGTGATAAAACCATTTCCTTCTCTATCATAAAGTCTGAAAGCTCCTTTGAGTTCCTGTTGGATAGCTTCCGTATCTTCGTCGTCTTCGGTTAAAAACCTAGCAGCTAAATTTGCAAACTCTTCGAAGTTTACTTCACCGTTTCCATCTTCGTCGATTTCCGTAATGATGGTTTCCAGTTCTTCGCCGATTAATTGAGTTCCTAATAGGTCCATTATAGTACCGATCATATCGACTCCAATATAACCCTTCTTCTCGACGTCAAAGGCGTCAAAAGTTGATTTTAACACTTAAAGTAGAGATTATTTTTTTAATTGTGTGTATGGAATTTTTCTTACTTGAAATTTGCTCTTTGTCTAAATCGTTCTAAAATAAAGATAAATAATAATAATAATACAAGAGATTTAAGCTGTTGCTTACCATGATTGAAGTGTTGGTTTTGAAGGTGAGCACTCTGCTTTCTGGACTTGACAAAGAGAATGAAGCGCATTTAAATACTGTGTACAGCAGGCAATGAGTGTAAAATAGGTTATTGATCTTTTTCTCTCATTCTTAGTACTAATTTTGTTACTGAAAGGGTGGGTAGATGTTAAGTGTTAAGAGTTGACAAGTCTTATGCTAATGTTTTAAAACTGTTGATTGTATTAAAAAATTGTTAACAATCTTAATAGGAAAAATTTAAATAATGTTGGCAAATGTCAAAAGTTATGCTTTTTGCGATAAAGGATTTGTTTAGAAAATTCATTTGTTTTAAGTAGGTTCAGAAGAGCTTGTTAAAAAATTTATTTGATCACACACCATTAAAAATTTTGAAATATCAATTACACAAAATCACTCATTTCTCGTTTTCATAACTTTAAAATTAGGATAAATTTAGGCATAGAGAGAAAAACAATGAGTTTTTTAATGGTGTTTTGCATTTTAATCTTATATGTATAAACATGGTGAATATAAAGTCTAGAACTAAGCGGTTTTTTTTCATCATTTACCTACAGAAAATAACAATTAATAAAAAATAAAGTAACAAAAAATGTCATCGAATCTTGCAATTAATGTAATTTTTTTTTGGAGAAATTAAATATAAAATGGATAGTTGTAATCATTAAATCATAACTTTCATGAAAAAAATGGTGTAATAGAGAATGGACATTAAAAAATTAATTTTTTTGTTGAACTCAAAAACAAAAACAAAATTTCGAAAAATTTTATCCTTGATAAACCATCGCATTTTTAAAGTACTTTATTTACAGAAATTTAAAAAAATTACAGAAAAAAATCTCTTTTCGTTTTTATAGTCGCATTTCATTAACTTTGTATTCACAAAGGTGTACTAAAAGAATTGTGCAACAAAATCGCATTTAAATTCTTTGATTTTGAAATTTTAAAAATGTCCTGTTTCATAGCATTTTTGGAGTATGTGTTAAAACTTTTGAATTAAAATAAAAATTTTGGTTAAAAATGTATGAAATTGGTGAATTTATCTTACAAGTACATAATTATTATTAATAAACCAAAAATAGATAAAGTTTTGGTAAAAAAAAATGTGATTTACCTACTTCAATTGTGGCGCACTGTATATTTTAAATCTTAATTAATAACATTATTTAAACTACTGCTGTTTACTGTCAGTTTGCTTTATTTGTTTATTAAAATTCAGTTCGGATCAGATTTAGTCGTTTCTGGAATTTCATTTTTCATGGTGTGAAAATAGGTGTTTTTACTAGAAAATGGAATTTAATGAAATTAGCTTCATTTTTTAACTAACCATTGTTGAAATCGTTAGCAACAATTATTTTAAGCTTTTTTTTTTATTAAATACTTCATTTTTTTATAAAAATTAAATATCGTCATTGTAAAATGTACAGGGTGCTGCATTTTGGATGTCTGAATAGGGAATCTCCGAAACTAAGAGGTTTAGCCAAAAACGAGTAATACATTCTGGGTCTCATTTTTTGAGAAAATAATATTGGGTAAAACCGCATCCCGCTATCGTCTTTTGTTTTCGACTTATAGACAAAAATTGACATTTTAGCGAAATCTAAAAAAATTCATATCTTTGTTATTATAGAAGACACAGATTTGAAATAAAGACATTATACAGGCACTTTTTTTTACGTAGAATTTAATAATGTAGTTAACAATTTTTTTCAGTTATTAGTTTAGCCGTAATAAGATAAACTTGTATTTTTTAAATGGGAATCATAGATGGCTATGTCATTTTTAAAAAGCTTGTTTTTTTCTTATCTAAAAAATATATATTTGTAACAAATTTATATTAGCAAAAAATTATCTTTGATTTTTGTTCGCAGCTGTCCATGAAAAAATGTTGCATCTTCAACCAAAAGGATTTAAACTATATTATATTCAATAGTGTCACTAATGAAAGAGTTTTCTAAGTACTAAGTGATGAAAAAGATGCAAAATAAATTGTAAATCAACTTATTGGCGACTAATAACATTTCTTTGTTTTTAAACAAGCTAACATTATCATTGCAACTTCTARTGATACATARAGTGTTGTAAAAAAAAGCCKCTTTAATTCTTCAATAAAATATATTTTATATGACACAAAAATGACGATATGGCCATTCAAATACCCAAATTCCGTCTATGTGAAACGTTATCCTACCTCCATTAGATCATCAAAAAAATGTTTTTTTCTAATTGTGTTGACCACCGCCTCCTTAATCAAATGTATCAATATCCCGCCTGGGCATTTCGTAAAAAATGCATTGGAGCAGTGATTCCGATTTTTTCTTAGTTACGGGGGTTACTAAGGAAAAACTGAATAATTTTTAATTATTAACGAAAAATTACGCAATTAATAAATGCTGTGAAGGAAGGATACAACAAAACTAGATACGCCAGGGAGAATTGATATTATGAGATTGAACCCTTTAAGCTAAATAACTGGATTTGTCAAAAATTTTCCCCAGATTAAAGCGCCAACGGGAATCACTTGAACTCAAAAAATGCCCAGGCGAGAAAAGGATTATTTCTATGGAGACGGCGATGGTGTTGACTGTTGACACATTTGTTTTTCCTATTTTTGGATTTTTTAAAAATATGTAATAATTTTGTTCTGAGTCGCTCGGATATTTGTTCAATGCTTCTACCGTATCGTATTTTTTAAATCTTTATAATTTTATCTATTTTTTCATCTATTTTACAGTTCACAAAACTCTTATTGATTATTATTTACACATTTGGAGTGAAATAGTTTTTCCATGGCCAACTATTATCACACAAAATATGTATTTCACTTTTTAAGTATAGTTATAAAAAAATATTTTGTTACAAATTTATATTTTTTGATCAGAAAAAATAAGCTTTTCAAAATTGCCATAGCCGCCTATGATTTCCATTAAAAAAAATACAAGTTTATCTTATTACGGCTAAACTAATAACTGAAAAAAATTGTTAACTACATTATTACATTCTACGTAAAAAAGTGCCTGTATACTGTCTTTATTTCAAATCTGTGTCTTCTATAATAACAAAGATATGAATTTTTTTAGATTTCGCTAAAATGTCAATTTTTGTCTATAAGTCGAAAACAAAAGACGATAGCGGGATGCGGCTTTACCCAATATTATTTTCTCAAAAAATGAGCCACAGAATGTATTACTCGTTTTTGGCTAAACCTCTTAGTTTCGGAGATTCCCTATTCGGACATCCAAAATGCAGCACCCTGTACATTCTTTATTAAGCGTTTCTATCCTTTATTTACGTCGCTGAAATTTCTTAGTAGGCATCAGAAAACTGAAATAAATTAAGAGTTATGGCAGATATGAAAATTTATGAGTTTTGACAAACGTAATGGGTTACTATTTTTAAAAATTATCTCACGCTGTGATAAATTTTATTTATTAACGCAGATACAAAATTGTGCTTTATATCTAATATTTTATGTACCTATGTTTATAATTTTTTTTTTAAAAAGGAGCTATAAAAATAATTTCAAAAAAAATCCATTTATAAATTAATGGCTATTTTTTATTATGTTATTGTAACATATTGCGCTAATAGACAATTATTTGAAGGAAAAATTAGATCAGGAAAATAAAATAAATTAAAAATAAATACAAGATTAGGAATCCAAGGGCAAAACGTCTAGACCAAGGAGCAAAATCAGTATTTGTACTACATTATAAGAGTACATTATAGTAGATTAGAATTTTAAATAAACTGATAACCTGATTGGACGAATGTCTGGAAGAGGGCCAGCAAGCGAAAGCGAGTATAAAACTTTTTCGGGGGTATACAACGTGTTATACGCAAGCATATGTGATTAATAGTTTTAGTAAATTGCTTACATTGTTTTAGAGCACGGCGACAGGGCCGTAATTGAATTTTTCTAAACAATTATTAAAAAATGTGGAGGAACTGTTTTAAATATTACACAATTTTTTATATTTCCGTAGATTTTAAAGCCCGACGTGGTTAGAGGGCTTTCAATTGCCAAAGGGCTATAATTTTTTAATATGGCAGCAAAACGTATGATGACCCCTGACGTTGAAATTAAATTGGTAACAATGAATGAATATTTATAGAGGCTGAAAATTGCAGAAAACAAGGCAACCAAACACAAAATTTTGAGTTGTTTTGCTCAATTCAGTTCGTTATCGGTTGATTTTGAGCATTATTTTTTTTGAAAGTTCACCACAAATTGAAAAAGTTAATGAGAATCTCAGGAATTAGGAAGAAAACATATAACATGCATTGGTCAATTTTCTTTTTTTTATGTCAAAAAAATCCTAAATATAGTTATGTAGTTTTCAAGATATAAAAAAGAGCGTGGAACACCATGACAATTACCAACTTAATTTCAAAGTTATAGACCACTTTTATCAGAAATTTAATTTGTTACAAATATCACTTATGATTTCGTTGGAATTCGTCCAAAAATATGTCAGTCCGGTCCTGCATAGTATTTTACGATTAATTAAAACTGAAGCAGCTGGATTCTGAAAAAACATGAACTAGACGCAGCCCCACTATTCCCAGTATGCGAACTTTTATAAGAGAGTGCTTTTCATATGTTTGCTATTTCTTTCACGTTTCATTAAAGTATCAATCCATAGAACATGGTAAGTTAGTGATTTGGGTTATTTATAAACAATATTGATTTATTTTCCAATCTTACCAGGATGATCTTAGCAAAGACCAAATTGCGCGTAAGTTTAGCTTCTTATTGAAAATAACGATCAATAAATTTACTTTGTTTCTCAGTTCTTCAAAAAGCCTTCGACACATTTGATGTCGAAAAAAAAGGAAGTATTGGTACTGCTATGGTTGGTACAATCTTAAGTATGTTGGGTGTGCACACAACTGAAAAGATGTTGGCTGAAATTATTGCTGAAGTGGATGAGGATGGTAGATATAAACTAAATGAAAATACAACAACAATAAAGGTATTGTTTTTAGGTTCCGGCGAATTAGAATTTGAAGAATTTATAACACTTGCCTCTAGATTTATGGCAGAGGAAGATGCGGAAGCCATGCAAGCAGAATTAAAAGAAGCCTTCCGGTTGTACGATAAAGAAGGTTTACCTAGTCTATTATAAGTATTACGTTTTTTTATTCAGTTTTTTATAGGCAATGGTTACATTACCACTTCCACACTTAAGGAAATTCTTAAAGAATTAGACAATAATTTGAGTAATGAGGAATTAGATGGAATTATTGCTGAAATTGATACTGACGGATCCGGAACCGTTGATTATGATGGTATGTTATTTCACAATAATAATAACACCACTGAAATTATTTGTTTCATAATTTTTCAGAATTTATGGAAGTCATGACTGGTGGAGATGATTAATTTTAATCATGTATCACAAAATAAATGAATAATATTTTCCTGATTCTCTTGGTGTTTTTGATAATTACTTTGTCTACTTGTAATTATTCAAGGAGCAGGTTAATGATTCTGGACTACGAGTCCATGTGTAAATAAAATTACCTCTTGTGATAATTTTTTTATCTAATAAACCTTCCAATACTTAATAGTTTGATCGCAGTAACTATAAAAAAGTGTATTTTACCACATATATTATTTATATTTATTTTTTCTCTTCTTTTCTTTTTTTTTTTTCTCTTTTTTCTCTTCTCTTTTGTATCTTCTAGTCTTCTTTTCACAACTTGACATTTTCACATTTTTTTTTATATGTTACCCTCATGCCTTCACTTAAAAATGAGAAAAGACTGACCAAAAAAATGCAAATAACGTTAAATTTCGTAACAATTAAGAATATAGTTTCTGTTTACTCTTCTGTTAACTTGCAATAAGTAAACGTACTCGTGGAAGATTATTTACGAATTGAAAATAAATAAGGTCAATTTTAATTTAACATTTTTTCTTGGCTCTCTGTGAAGCAGAGTTTTGAATTTTACGAATTTTTAGACACTCTGTATATATTTCTGATCTTTCGTTAATTTTTTCTTTTCTTTATTAGGTTTTGTTTTAGAGTGGTTGTTTTTAGGCAATTTTTAGGTTTTGTTTTGTCGTATTATTTTTTCTGATAAGTATTAATTTCTCTCATTCTTTTTGTTTACAGTGTGGCTCCGGATTGAGTTTTCAAGAGGAAAAAAACAAACATCTTTTATTTTACGCCAAAACTGCAAAAAAACATTGCTTGACCTAAAATGAGCAAATCTGAAATTAAAACTTCATTGTTGTGACTCAGTGGAAAGAAAACTTAATTTTTCTCTTGATTTTGGACTTATATAATTTTTCTCTGCGTTTTAAATTCCATCACATTGGCGGTTTTATTGTTTTGACAACGATGCTATTTTGCCAAATGAGTTTACGCAGGTTAAATAACAAAAATGTTTGTAAAAAACAATTTTAATAAATGACAACTCAAAGAAACAATTTTAAATTAAAAAAAGTAGTCGTTTTCAACAAGAACAATCATTATTCAATTAATTAATTAACTGTCAAGTGACATCTTTGTCAAAAAAGCAGTCCACAATTAAGAAAAAAATTAACTCTTCTTTCCACTGAATTAGAATGTTATTTCTTTGAAATTTTGTTGTAAAATCAAAGATAATTTTTATTGCTCTTGTAAACTCAATCTGGGGATATACTGTATATTTTTTTAAGTTTTCTTGTTTCTTTCATCTGTTTATTCTTTTTTTTTTATTACTAGTAAAACGAGAAAGTATTCGGATTTTAACTACTGGAATAATTCGTTATTAGAAGTCAATTTGAAGACCAAACAAACTCCGAATCCAATTTTTTTTGCATTTGTCCTCATGATTTTCACGAGTGTGTTTGTCTTTGTACAAGGAAAAATGTCCATGAAATTTTAATATTAACTCAGAAATGCTGTGTTTTCGGCAAAAATTGGAAATAGAAAAGTTGTTTCTCTTGACGAGTTCTATTAGTAGTTGGAGTATTTGCTTGTAATCTGCGAACACCCTGTTACACATTTCGTTTTTTTTGTCCTATACAGGGCCGTACCCAA